GCCAATAGGTAAATGGAAGTACCGTACCGCACTGCCTTTAGTACCCCCTTATGCAATATCCCTCTTCAAATAATACCCGGGTACATTACAAAAAAAACTCTCGAAAAAATTGTATAAGACCCGGGTATTAAAATTCCAGGTTGATAGATTAATTAAAATTGATTTAATAACAAAGCCTACCTCCAAGTCACAATACCCTCCAAGCATAGTACCCACTCTTGGTTAAGTACCCATGGATATATTGTCATGTATAATACCCTTTTTTTTTGATAATACCCGGATACTAGGGGCAGTGCGGTACGGTATGCCGAAATCACAAATTTACAGTTGTTTTCATAAATTCTAGAACCTAAAAATTTGCTCGTTTTCCAAAACCTCTTCGTTCTCGTTCTAAAAATCACCTAACTTTTCGGAAACTACGCCGCTATCTCTGTATCGAAGTTCCAAGGACAGAGAAACAGTTTCCGAAAAGTTAGGTGAGTTTAAAATGAGATCGAAGAAGTTCCGGGAACGAGCAAATTTTAGGCTCCCAGAATTTATAAAAACAACTGCAATTGAGTTTATTTCGGCACCTTTGGCTATCCGGCATTCTTCAAACCACATGACCAGTCGCACCTATGCTTTTCGAATTGATGCAGGATTGCATCATAACATCTAACTCGGATAAATTTCGAACATAATTTTTGGTTTAATGTTAAGGCATTTATCCCAAAACAATTAGTCATGTGATAATGTGTGGAAGCATTGCTACCACTTTCATACAATTATTTATGCTGACTGTACTGTACGTATTTATTATTATTATTATCAATACGCTTTATGTGTAGGACTGTTTGAGATCAAGAGAATCTTCCAATTATCTTTTTTGACAACTCTGTAAACGAACGTTTCATCAAGAGACTAACAATACATGTATTTTGTATTTCATGAAATAACTATTTATTTATTATTTATTTATTATTCATTTATTTATTTAGTTAAAATTGATTACTAAACAGGTCAACAATACAAATAAGGTCATGCAAAATTAATTAATTGGTTTCATAACCTGGTTAGGTCAAATTTTGGATCCTTCTTAATATATTTCCATATATGAAAATTAAAAAAGCAGACTGGCCGACGGGTTTATTTGAAAGTTTCATATTATGAAAACCAAGAAATTAAATTTATATGGCCTAAGATACCCGAAGAATAGTAACTTTTAAAGCGAATAACAAAAATAGCGCTTTCATTTATTACCGTCAGAATAGATCACCAGGCAAAATAGAATCGGAAATCGAGTTTATTGACGTGCCTACTGTGATATAAATGATATATTTTTTCGATTCTGGCTTTTTTTTTTTTTGAACCAGACTTAATTGATATGCTTGGCATTTGATATGTTGTCATCATTTGAGCTATGCAGATAGTTCAGGTCCTTTTTCAGAACGTCAATCGCTTTTTGATAGTGATATTCTTTAGCACAAGCATACTGTATAAGTTCTGATCTAGACGAAGTTCAGTAATTCGAAGTTTTGCTTAATGTAGGAATTCCGATTGAATAATTTTTAATCATGAATCAGATGATATTTTTGTGTCGTTTCTTGATCTCAAAGTTTTTTCATATTTCATACCATTAATCTTTACTCTAACACACTTTGTCTTCTAGTGATATAGATTCCGTATAAATAGGTTTATCTATTTTGTTTACTGCATTTTCACGAAATAACGTGCAGGGATGTAATTTCGAATTTTGGCCTAAATTAAGCTTAATTCGTCATTATTCAAAATAACACCATGGGCGTTAGGCCACACCAATTTAATTCTTCGTCTAACATGAACCTCCTCTATTTTTTAAAATTTTATGTGAAAAACAACAGTATATTAACCAACCAAATTGCATTATTGGCTTTTGTTTCTTATTTTTTTTGCAGCCAATAGAATTATCACACATATATATATAATATTTTGTGGTATTTGTTTCAATAAGACAAAATTTCTTGTGATCCGGAATAACTTAAAGATGAATCAGGGATTGAAGTTTTATCCCCTGCATGTAGGGTTGTAAATTTATAGAAATTTTTAATTTTTTAATGTAAGTTATAACCACTTAACTTACATGTAAGTATGTAAGTTAAAATAATATATAATATAATTTAAATAGGATCTTTGCTAGGAAAATATCTCCCTAGAACTACATATATTTCATAAATAAAAGTTAAATTTGCTAACTTTTCAATAATCTAATTTAGATAAAAGTTTTTTATTTTGTAGAGTTAATCCCATAGTTCTAAATAGGGTTCTGCAATCCGGGCACGTGCCTGTGTCCAAAAAACTTTAGGCACAGGCATAGGCATGAATACTTAGGCATGGACATCGGCATGGCTTTAAAATTTTGGCATAGGCCACAGAAATTTGATATTTGTTATTTAATTGTGCCCGGCACCACTCTGGCACCTTGTGCCCATGTCTTTACAAGTGTTTGGCACTTTTGTGCCCATAGTTTTAATGTGCCTGGTATTTTATGCCCTTTTGTGTCTATGGGCATAGGCGTGGCATAAGGCACTAGTGCCCGCCTGGTGCCAATGTGCCGGGCACGGCATTTACAGAACCCTAGTTCTATAAAGGATCATAATTTTTATTGTACATATATATCATATATATAATACTATATATATATATGTTATATTAGCATTAGTGTATTGGTTCATTTATTGTATTATATATAATAATAACTTACCATACATCACAAATTTTGGATGTAACTTACATGTAACTTACGTGTAAGGTAAGTATGTAAGTTACAACCTTACAACCCTGCCTGCATATTAGTAACAGTTTGTTTTTCAGTTTAGTTTGGCTTTAAATTAAGTATTTTCTTCGCAATTCTAATGATAGGCTTGCCGAAGGTTTCCAATTCTGCGATTCTAACCTTAAATCTGGCATTCTCGTCTTACCAAATCTGGTTTGAATTGCATATTAGATAATGAATATTTTTATGTAAACAGTTTTTCTTTGAATTAGATAAAAAAAATTGCATGGTCGACTTCGAAAAACCAATCACTTTGTTAGAAAACTCCCGATAATACCATGCAAAAGTAAACTGATTATGTATGTATGCGAAATAGAACCAACAGAGTCTAGCCTTATTAATAAAAAATACAAGAGTCATACTTTTTTTAAATTCTGTGCTTTTCTTCATGTTTCACATAATGGACTTATTTTTTCTTTTTTTTAAAGCACTAACTATTCTGAAAATGAGTTTTCCTAATTAGCAAATTATGAACTTTAAAAAATACACTTTACTCGTATGGTCATTAAAATGTAACAAATCTATCTTTGAAGATTCAGATCTTAAAAAGATTCATTGTTTTCTAATAAGGAGAATAGTTTATTCCATTTCTCAAATTTACCCGTAAACTATAATAATATTTTCTCCTAACAATTACTAGCCAATTTTAGTAAATATATAGATACAAATTACTGTTATGATTTTACTTGCAATTCTAACGCTAATTCTAAATTTACATATTTTTTTTTTTTGTAAACCATCCTTCACATGCTTTTTGAAATTTATTAATCATTGATTATGATCTTCAAATTAGTGTTTGTACTATACTATATTCGAATAAAGATTTACGAAATATTAATATTAATATTAATTATGAATTCATGGTTATTATTCATTTAATATTCATAATTATTTCTAAACATTTATGAATATTCCGAATATTTATAAATATTAAGAATATTCATAATTATTACGTGCAATTCGTCTAAAACATCCAAAGTTGCAATTCTAAAAAAAAAACATTGCCTTGTAGTCTTGGAAGATCTATAAAGTAATGCTTTTTTTTTTTTTTATGCGAGATGCAATTTTAAAAAACAAACGAAAATTTTCAAAGATTAATAATCGACAAAGTATTGTTAATCAGGCTTTTTGAAATTGTAACTCTTAACGTTATATAAATAACACAGATTTAATGATTAAGTGATTTGCACCATATAAAATATAATAATTACAAATACTTTATTATAAATATTCATAATTATTATGAATATTCGCAATTATTCATAATTAGATGAACATTTGTAATTATTATGAATATTCATAATTGGATGAACATTTGTAATTATTATGAATATTCATAATAATTATAAATATTCATAATTATTATGATTTATCCATAAATATTCAAATATATTAAATATAGCAAATATAACTTGGATTTATAAATATAATTATAAAAGTTATTACTAAAAATAAGTTTTATTGTCTAACAAAATTTCATCATATAATGTTGTAAATATTTTTTAACCAAAAAATTAATCAAGAGTTTAAAATAATATATATATATATTATATTATAGTATTGTATCTGAAATCAGAATATAATTAAATAATTTTTCAATGCATAAACACGTAACACGTAGGTACAGAATCACATAAACCGGCTTACATTCACTTGCGGCTTAGCCGCGTAACCATGGTCTGGAGTTCGGATGTGCCTTATTTATAAATTTTTTTGTACTCTGGCTTGGCATAAATACGGATCATAAACGTCACCTGATTTAATTTAAATTAATTAACTGTGATAAAATTACGTATTACGTCGTTAAATTCTCAGAGCAAAGTCACATGATATCAATCATATTTAATTGTGAAGTGTTTTTACATAATTCTTGAAAGAGTAAAAGTAAAAATTAAATCTCACAAATTCGCCCACATACTATTACATACATAATAGAATAAAATAAGTTGATAATTTTCATATTTAAACACTCAACTTAGTAGTTAAAAAAAAAAAAAAATTGTGGAAATATGCGATTTATGAACTTTAACAATTAAAATCAAATCTTTACAACAATCGTTGATGTGATTTACGCTAATTATGCGCTTAACAACTTGTACTAATTATGCATTTGGCCGAAATGTATAATTTCTTTTTCTCTTTATTATGAGATTTGAGATATCTAAACAAACACATTGTTATATATTTGCTTATCAATCCAAACAAATAATTAATCTAAATTCAGAACCTTATTAAGAGCATTTTTATATTCTGTTACATGGCGTTGTAAAGAACGATTGGATGCTATTATAAATATTAAATATGAATGAGTATTAACAATTATTGCTTAGAAATGACAATTTATTAAAAGAAGTACTGCTTACACAATACTGTCAATACTTCTTCAAGTAATTGACGCTTCGACATTCCCTAATAAGTAATTTTGACATTAACTGTAAACATTTAAAGTTTAATTCGAATAAAATCAATATAATACCATTAAAAATGGATCCCAATTTGATTTTGCGCGACCTCCAAAATCGTCTGTGCTATAAAATTTAATATATTTAAAAATAAATTAACATAAATTTTATAATATATCTTAAATCAAATTTATTAAATTGTGTACTTGCTTATTTGTAGGTCCAAGCAGTTGAATACATAGTTCATGTAATCTGTATTCTGCCTCTTCATCAGCTATTTTCTGTGCATATTGGAACAACAATTTTTTATACTCTACAGGAGAATTGACTAATTCAGCGGAAATAAGCTGATTTTCTAAATAACCAATCATATGATTTGGTTGTCCCGGAGTATCATTTCCACTCAATCGTCTCAAGTGTGACAATGACCCAAGATTTTTTGCACTCCCTTGCCTTGCGTAATTTTCAAGAGTTGCCAATATGCCACCATCGTTAACCTCACCAACTTCCGATCCAGTTGAATCTTTTGACGTATATCGTGGATCATACACACGCGTCCAAACATGCATGTCAAAATGATAACACCATGCATCATTTGTACTAGACCAACAATAATTGACAAATCATGAGAGTGAGACTCTAATATATTAGGTTAAAAATTAAGATAAAGCGAGTTACCTCGTGATTAATAATGGGATCCCATTAGATCTGACATGTGCACTTATTATTGACACAGAGGAAGTAAAATCATCCGAATTTAATGATGCGGAGGAAAGTATTGGCGCAATGGACACAGAATGTACGATCGCTTTAAGGTTTCGTAAATCCCTGCATTGCAATCCATGGCACTACACTTTAGCCTTGAGATATTGTGATGACAGCATAACAAATGATGTAAAAAATAAATATCATTGACTTGAATCATAAGAAAAAAAATCAACTTACCAAATGCTAAGTAACCCTACTTGAGTTAAAACCAATAGATAATCTCGACATATTTCAAGAAACGAAGCGGATGACTCGAGCATTATCACCGGTAGTAACCTGTTAATTGAAGACATTAATAACAATGACAATAATAAATGAAAATAAATTATTACTAACCGTCGACCGGCAGCAGAGTATATATATATACTACCATCTTCACAAGCAACAGCAGAATATTGAGAATGACCGGTAATAAGTATCACCGCACTCGGGACGTAGTCAAACCATATAGTGGTTCTACCACGAGTGCACATTATTTGAGATGGTGCTAAAAGGAAGAAAAAATAAAATAAAATAAAATAAAAAATAATCAAGATAGACATATATTATGTACAAAACTTCGTACTATTTTCATTAAAATTGTAGCATTCTAATTTTAATGTTGCACCATCGAGGCGATCCTTAGCAAGGTAATTCAAAACCTTATGAGTAGCTAATCTTACTTGTGACATTGCAACGGATGGAGAAACTAGGGATGATCTTAAAACACTTGGCTGTAGGTCAATCTCTGATTGTGACCTGGATATGTTTTGCCGCTTGCTAGATTGAGTAGTTATATCTGATGCCGACGAAGCACTTCGTTTATTCCCAATAACAAGAGTAGAAATTCCGCCAGGTGGCAAGGCACGAGAAGGGGCATCCATCTCACTGCTTAATATATCTTCAGATGACGATTTTTGATGATTATTTAAAATTGTGGGAACGCTTGTAGGGCCATTACTTGATGTAGATGATTCCTGGCGGGAGTAAAAAGATAAATTATAATTTATAAAAAAGTCTTTGATTAAAACCAAATGTGCATATAAAGTTACTCACAGCAACAATTTGTTCAGAAGTTGAAGATATGTTCGGTTGTAGTTGAGGGGTAGATGAGGTGAGACTACTAAATATAGTTGGTTTAATAAGTGCAATTTAAATATAAAGAAACATAAAATTAGCAGATTTTACCTTCTCAAAAATTGAGGTTGAATCCTCCTTTTCCCGTCTTTTGTTACAGTAACAGTTTGCTGGGGTATAGCAGCATTTGTCGTTGTGTTGGATGCTAAAGTTGATACTCCATTAATGTTTTTTGATGCTTCATTATCATTAATTGGTTGCTGCGTTTCAATTGATGGTAATGGATGTGGTAGAATAGTTGAAGACCCAAAGTCAGTAGTATTTGAGCCAGTAGCTAAATTATTGCTTGTTTCAGAAGTGCTAATTTCCATATCAACAGTTGTAGAATCCGTGGGTGCCATCATATTAGCCATATGATCCGATTTCTCTTTACGTTTTGCAATTGCATATTCACTTTCTAAATTAAGTTGAGTGGTACTTTCAAGAATAATCGGTTCCTTTGCCGTGAATCCATACTTTGAAAGGAGCTTTTCCTATATAAATTAAAATAAATTAATTGTAATCAATAAAATGAAAAGTAAATATGAAATTTGATTAAATCACTCACATGTTCCTCTTCTGACACCCGAGTGCCAAATTCTTTATTAAGGAATTGCAAGACAACCACGGTTCCATCATAAGAACACGCATATAGTTGTGTACCATCAGGTGACCTTTGATTAAAAATAATAATAGTAATCGCAGAGGGAATCAAAGCAGTGTCTTCCAGAATACATATTAAATTTATTAATTTTTATATAGTACCATGCTAAATCCAATACACTATGATCAAAAGGTTTTTGGCAAACAAAGAGTGGGCGGGCATTCCTCGTTACCCATACGGAAATACTATGGTCTTGGCTTCCCACAGCACATACACTACCCATAGTCTCCGAATTGGGGTCTGCATCATCACTGTCAGGTATCATAAAAATAACTGGATTAAACGCCTAAGTATAATATTTAACATTTGATGAGTACACATTCCTGTCATGGTCTATTTGCAAAACAAAGCTAATACTGACCACAACTTCGATCGCAGAATCATGCCCCACTAAAGATATATCAGTACGCCATTCTCCTCGATTAAATATAGCTGCAATGGCTACCGCGCCTTGTGCACCATTTGCCGTTGCGACATGAGAACCATCTGGGGACCAACTTTATATTCTATCAGTACTTTGCTAATTATAACAAGTAGAATCTATTAAACAAAATAATCGAACATACCTAAGACGGCGATAAAAAGTAGTTGTGGGAGAGCTTGCGTAAGGTTCACTGATTTCAGCTTGCACAGTCCAATCAGTGGTTCGCCATATTTTAACCGTTTTATCATCAGACTATAATCCACTCTATTAGTAATTTTCGATAACTATGTTTCAACTACGGCAATCTAATTTAAACAATACCTCTGTTGCAAGATATTCGCCCACAGGATCCCATGTGACACCTTTAACAAATCCAAGATGCTGATCTAATTTATGTAATTTTTCTACACAATCATAAAGGTAAGTATGTATATATGTATATAAATAAGATACATATACATGTCATAGATTAATTTAATGATTTACCAAACGTTTTGCCATCCCATATGAATACCAAGCTGTCTAATCCGCATGATGCCAAGTAGGTATTATTTCTTGACCAAGCAAGATCAACTACATCTGAAGAATATTAACATATAATAGATAAATTAATTTCAAATCACAAATTTTAATAACAAAACATACAACCAAAATAATAAAAATGAATACCCGATTGATGCCCTGAGAGTCGTTTTACTGGTTTCCAATTCTCAATATTGTGTTCGCCACTCCCAAACACACTTCCTCCCGACCACCCTTCAGTCGATCTGATTTAATACATTGCATTCGAAGATAAATTTAAATATTCACACGTTCATTAATATATTTATTAATAAATCAATTTGATCAATTTACCTATCCCATTCCCATATCAGAATAAGTTGGTCGTCTGAACCTGAGGCCAAATATTGGCCATCTTTGTTTGACCATCTGACGCAGAGTACTGAACCTAAGAAAAACACATATTAAATCAATATGCAATAAATTAATGTTTTTTTAATCGAAAATAGAAAAAATTAATTATTTTGATCAATATGAAACTTAACAAACAAACAAACAGAATGCGAACCATTGTGAAGACCTAAAGTGCACAGTAAACGCGGTACACTAGAATCGTTTGCTTTATTTACATCTATTATGCTGGCAGTACTCCATAATTTTATTTTATTATCTACATGAGTTGATCAAGACGTTTAGCTTGTGATTTGGTATTAAAAAGGATAAATTTAAGCTATAAAAGTATTGATCGCGAAACAAATGTCTAATCGATCGGTATCAATATCATAGCTCAGACCGAAACACGCACCGAGACCTCCAGTTGCTAAACGAGATCCGTCAGGGTGAACATGGACCGAAAAGATCGAAGTTCTCTGATTTTTGTCGTCTTAATGAAAGTAGATACGTCAGAATTAATGGTTTAATTATTTAGAAATGTACAGAAATAATGACTCTCACCAAAGTGCCCGAGCCAACTTGGTTTTGCCAGATGCATCCTCTAGTTTTTTTAGAGTAGAGACTTCCAAAAAGATATAAACGCGGTACGATTTCTTAGTATACAGATACAGATACAAGATTTGACGTGTCACCGATTTTTGATTTTTACTAAAATAACTTTATCAGTAATTATGCAATTCCAATAATAAAAACTCATATATTTATAACCTACATACATATATTTTTAACTTATTAATACCCATTCGTACAAAACCAAAAATGACAGTCTTTTGGTTTTTGCACACAAGAAATGCGTATAAAAAAAATTCTTATTTAACGTATTTAACTCTAGAAAAATATAATAAATTTGAAAAAATATCACTTTACTCCATCGCTTCTTTAATTTGAGAAGACACTAAATAACTTTATATATAAACTTATATGATAAAAAAATATGTCAGACCATAGAACTCAATCGGTTTTTTCTTATCCTTCACCCGCTACAAATCCACCACCAAAAACAGATATATCTCTACGAGAAATTTTAGATACATATCGTGATAATAATGATTTATTGAAACAAATTCTCGCAACAAAGGCTGAAGAGGATAAGGTAACGCTATAAATCTATTCGATTTTTGGCAGACTGAACAAACTTGCTATCATTTTTCAACGGGATTCTGGTTCTACTATGTCAGATACACCTTGTTCAGTTCTCTTACCGGAACAGACTCGTATCGTATTTGTCATAAGGGACCGGCGATTAAGAACACAGAATAATTCGTAAATGCGTAATAACTAATTCTCAAGGACCTTTATTATCAAACAGAGACGTGCTGAAGAAGAAAAGTATAAAACTGAAGCTGTACGTTTACAATGTAAACAAGTGGAATTAGAGATGTTAAAAGAGCAAAAGAAACCACCAACTATTATCACTGGAGTACCACGTATGCGGAATTTCTTTTGCTTTTTTATTATATAACTATTAAGAGTCAACTAATGCTCTAATGCTCCCGTGTGATTATTTACATCAGCGATGAATACATCAAGTAGCTTTAATATGTATGTCGAAATACTTATATGAAAGTTATGTTTATTTTTTTCACGAATAGCGAGTAACAATGTAATTATTATTTCAATAAAGGAAATCACCTTCAGATATCAGTAGCCCGTACCTACCGATACCACCGCCAAATGGTTTGTATAAATTTTCGGAATGAGATTCCTCAATATTATCTTTCTCATATATTTCATTCTTTTTAGATACCCATTTTTCTGCCAATGCCACTACACCAACAAGCGCGACACGCTTGTCACCACCATCATCTTCCAATGACAATGTATCTTATAATCACAATGGAATATCTTCACACAACAATTCCTATAATCCGTTGAGCCAAAGACCCTCACTAACATTATCCATCCCTTCATTCCCAATTATAACGGCATCTCCAACTACGATGCATAACCAGCATCCATTTTCTACTCCTACAAGCAGTGTTCAAGAGCATCCTTCTTCTGCATCATCTCAAACAAATCATTATTCTCAAAGTCCTACTACGGGTGGTAAACGTTCCAAACCTTCTTCAGAATCAGAAGTTGACCATGAGTACGTTATGGAGGCTCTTAGACAGAAGGTGCAAAGGAACCAGGAAAATCCGGCGAAAAAATATATGACTGTTTTTAAACCTAGAAGCTCTAGTACTCCTGCACCTCCACACAACTCGACAACAAATCATCAGCATCATCATCACTATAATCGTGACCAACAGAAGCAGCACCAACATCAACGTCATCAATCACAGCAACAAACTTCTCCTGTTGATCCTTCTCCAATGGTTCGATCACCGATTCCTCCTTTACCTCCAATGAATGTACATTCTCCTGGGATGAATCAAGAACAAGTTACTAAAAGTTGAAGATTCACCTCAATTTAAAGAACACGTGATTCGGACCTTCGCTCGTTTCACATAGCAAAGAAAGTAGTTACTATTATTAGTCAGTTTATAGGATTACTTTTCTTGTCTGGAACAAGAATAGTAATTTCTAAGAAGTATATTGTGTAATTTGAAGTTAAAACTTTAAGAATATTATGTATTATATTATTTGTGTGGAGGTGCAGGAGTACTAGAGCTTCTA